GGCTGGCCGTTCCACTTCGGGACTTAGGGTTTTCAGGTCTGAGGTCTAAGGGGTTTGGATTTTGGGCTAGGGTTGTCAGATTTTGGGATGTTATTTGGGTTTAGGTTGTGGAGCTTTAGTGGTGAATCCCAAAGCCCTCAACTTGAAGAAGTCTCTACCTAAGCTAGGTTTGCAACATACTTGCCGAGCGCCGGAGGGAAGGGAGTCTTGGTTTATGGCTTCGGTTTAGGCACAAGCCTGATGATGGCCGACCGACCCGCCACCTGGGGTGCCGCGACGCGCCGACACCCTCAGCCCTCATCCCTAGACCGTGCAAACCCTGGGCATATATAACCCAAAACCCCAAACCCTTACTACTTGGAGGATCATGGGACTTAGTAAGTAAGGTTATAGCTACCCTAATTGGGGTTATAATCGCTTATAAGTATGGTTACCTTATTTATAACCCTAGTTACTAAGTCCCATGATCCTCTAAGTAGACCCCAAGTATACAAGCACCCTAACACCCCACTCTGTGCCAGGTGCTGCGTCTGAACCTCGAGGACTTGGATGCCAAACCAGAACCAGCTCCTTGGAGCATGTGGGACCAACACCCGGTTTGAGGTTTTGAGGGTTTTAGGGGGTTTCAGCGCATTTAGGACTAGGGTTTCCAGGGTTTTTAGGGTTCAGGATTTGTTGGTGTTTTAGGGTTTAGGGATTCAGGGGATTAAAGGTTTAGGGCTTAGTGTGCCTGAATGACTCAGTAGTATGTGTTGGTACTAGATTTCGCTAAATTCTGCGAAAAACATGGCAGCGTAATATAGAAGCCTGAACTGCATTAATTCCTTCGGGTTCCTAACTTAAGGTTTACTGTATACCCCACAACGTTCTAATTATTGAGGACCTTTTAATAGGTTCGAGCCCCTGCATGAATGTTAACAGAGGACTGGTACATGAATCGGTGCCTGCCCCAGCGGAGCAGAGGGCCCAGTGTCGAAGGACAGCCCTAAACCCTAAACCCTAAACGTAGACGAGAATGACGTGCCCGCATTTGTCTCATTCATCTCCTTTGGGACACATTTTAAGCATAGTACTATGGCTCGTGTCACCTTGGTGCTAGTTCTTATAAGTCCCATAGCGAAAGAGAACGGCACTCACGAGACCTTAATGCAGACTGTAAGGGTACCTTCTTCATCTCTGAAGGAGCATTCTGAGTTTCACAATCGTGATTACACATTTACACATGTAGCTCCACGGCCAAAGAGGCTGTAATGTGTGCGGAAGCATAGCACGGGTGTTACTCCGTGATCATTGTCTTGGTCAGAGCAAGTTCCCGAGGCCTCTCCTGAACATTCTGCTTGCAGCCGCACCCAAAATATGTGAGCCCCCCCTAAACCCTAAACCCTAAACCCAAAAACCCTCAAACCCTAAACCCCTGAACCCTATAAGCCCTAAACCCTAAACCCCGAGGTTCTTGACTGGGCAAGCTCGCCGACTCCCCCACGGATGCTTCGGGACATGAAGCGACTCGGATTCTGCGTTTTCGGTCCCGCTCCTAAGCCCAAACTGAATTGGAGGCTTGTGGCCGTAGATGTAGGTCTGGCAAAGTGAGAATGTGCCGGTTTATCTTGAGCTTGAGGCTTGGTTGTAGGGTTTCTGTCCGAAACGCCAGGGTGCAGTTACCAACCAACCGGCTGGCCCGATGTCATAGCTTCGGGTGTTATGCTAAGGGCCATCTTTCTTGCAGTTTGCCAGCGGCTCTGTCATCGCCTTGTTTGTTCATGTCTCGGGTGCCTCGTGTCGTCATGTCTTATGTCCGCGCCATCAATCGACCACCAAAGTTAAAATCGGAACAGCAATGGCAAAAGGTGTGTTTCTTCCGCTTTGTTCGTAGTCTTAGTTCCATTCCCGCAAGGATCATCTTTAATATAGCCCTAACAGCGAACCAGGAAAGTGACGATGCTTGTAACATAGATCCCGGAAGTCTCCTAAAGCCATATCCGTGCGATCAAGGCTGCTGAAAACCGGCAGCCTTTTCGTGGCCCAAGGGCTGAAGTTCGACTCCGCCATTCTCCAGTACGGCCCTTCGGTTCGGACTTTTGTAAGTAGGGTTTAGTTAGGGAGTACTTCCAACCCTAAGGTAAATGTACTTGAGGACGCTTCAGCCCTAACCCGAGAAGTTACTGTTTTTCCTACTCAGCACCTTGAAGGGTAGCACGGAAAACTTCATGAATGCTACACGACAGCAGAGAGTATTCCTTCTAGAACCCTTCTTGTAGGCCGTACATTACTTTAGAGTTTATAAGGTTTAGGGTCTAGGTATTACAGTAACTTTTTAGGCCCACACCCAAAGAGTTTAGGCATCGGGGTTGGGGTTTAGGGTGCCGCGTAGTAGTGACAACGGGTGACGTTCACATTTCAGGTTGTGGCGGCAGTGTTTATGAGATTGAAAACTCAGAAATGTTATGTGGGCAATGCGGTAACATAGATTGTCCTTTTTTGTGCAGGCATTTCGTTAACATGTCATCCAATCATCGAGTATTCGGCAACGTCTGCATGTGTAGACATGTGAGCAACATGCAGTTCTGTTGCATGGTGTTGATCATAGGGCATGTGTAGTGTCGGTCGGTGCAGGAGACATAGACATGAATACCGAGAGAACTCCAGCGAACATAGCTTAGTATAAGTTGAAGGCTGGATGCAACCAAACTGCTTAACGTCATTTCGGTCCAAGGTCAGACTGCGGCAACTCTGGAATCAGAGCTTCTGCTGCTAGTTTTGGCCCCCTCTTCGCCCTCATGTGAACATCGTAGTCAACGTATCGGCATCCCAAGGAATCCCTGAACGCAAAACCCTGTTTGTTTAAAGCTGGGGGCGGAGCTTAGTTTCAGCTCGTCGTCAATCGCGACTTGAGCACATGTCTTCCTGCGTTTTTGCAAAGCCCCGGACGCCGCTCGAAATCTACGGCCGATCATTGCCCAATGATGCAGACGCCGCTGGGCACCGCAATTACTTGCCGCATTCTTGCCTCCATGACTCAGCAGTATAAGCATGCGTATTGGGGCAATGGGTGTGTGTGACTTTCTGTTGCTCAGGCCGCTCCGATGCTCTTCCCTATGTACACCGTAGCTGCAGATGTGCTGCTGAAGATGACGATGGTCGAGCCCCACGAGATGTTGAAGGCAGACACTCGTGGAGCCAGGGTGTGCCATTGAAGGGCTTCAGGCTAAGAATCACTTGCATACCATGTCTGCAAGAGCTTGACAACCAACCTGTCTGTTTCCCAAAGCCTTTCTCTGCCCCTGCAACACTCGAAATTAAGCTGCAGACCACTTATTTGCTCAGATGTTGTACTGCATGGCTGTCTTTACAGCCAGCGTGCGCCGCCCAGTAGCACGACCTGTAGGAGGTTTAGGATATAGGCCCTACTTTCAGGATACCTGGCACCTATAGGTTTTCAGGATAAAGCGCCCTATTCAGGGCTTCGTGCCGCTTGCAGGACAAAGGCGCGCTTGTCGTCTTCAGCGACGACTTGGGCAAGGCAGCGTTCGTTTCACACCAGTGGCTTGCCAAGGACCACCCGGATCCCGATTTCAGGCAGATGCACACCTTGCAGAATGCTGTGAAGCGCATCCTGAACAGCTCCGGATCTGTTTCGTTGGACTTTATTACGGAAGCCGTGGTGCAAACGGCTAAGCCTGTTCCCATGCAGAAGTTCCAGGTGCAGACGTTGTTTTTCTGGTACGACTATTTCTCATGCCCACAGCTGGAAGGTCAAGGTGAATCGTCCGGCGAGGCGAAATACCTCCCCCAAGCCATCAGCAGCATACCGGGCTATGTAAGCGTGTGCGAATTCTTTTTCGCCCTCTGTCCGGTGCTCGAGTCCCCCTGGCAGGGCAAGGTGCTAACAGCAGCGACCTGGAGCAAAGGCTCGAGCGACAGCAGGCTGAG